ATTAGGACAAACCCTCACAAAGTGATAAGGGTCTGGGCTAAGGTAGTGGCAATAGGGATGATAAAGAAGGGGCTGATACAAGAGATATTTCCAAGTCCAAGACCACCTAGAGTGAAGAACTGATTGGGTAGAGGGGAATTAAGGCAAGGAATGTATCAAAGATGGTTGTGAAAGCAGAGGCCTGTGCAACTGGTACTTTCAGATGTCATCGGGAGATAGGACTGGTTTGGTGGAGTACATGATGAGCTATGTTCTGGGTCCTGTTGATTTTGAGGTAATGATGAAACATCCAGGTAGAAATGTCTAATAATAGACAATTAGACAAGTGCTACTTGAAGTCATGAGAATGGCTGAGTCCTCCAAAGGAGAGAATGAAGAGCAGGGGTCCAAAGATAGAGACTGAGGAAATGCCAAATTCCAATAATTTTCTTCTGTATGCATTATTAAAAAGAGTTTGAAACCATCTCTGTGTCAAAAATAAGGATTCTGAATGAGGATGTAACACAATTAGGTTACAGTTTTGTGAAATGGAAGTGATAGCAATGTGATTACCATGAAAATTCCAATAGAATATACACTCCTTGAGAGCAGGTACTGCTTTTCATTGTTCCCATGTATCCCTGGCCCCTCTCATAATGACCTTGAATGTGGTAGGTGCTTAATTAATGTTTGTTGTATCAGATTGGGTAAAACATAGCCTTGGAAGTCAGGAACCATGAGTTTTACTCTCATTTTGGACACTGACTTGTAATATGACCTCAGACAAGTCACTTCACCCTCTAATGCCTCAGTTTCCTCATCTGTAAAATGAGAGGCTTAGACTAAGGATTTCATAGGTCCCTTCTCAATTTGACAGCACTTGACCCCAATTTCTCTTTCTAATCTTACCTCCCATTACTCTCAAAAAAAAAATCCAACATTTTGTTTCATTGAACCAGTCTCCTACTTGTCTGCTCTACCCATCATGTCCATTCCTACCTCCTTGACTTTGCACTTAGTGTTTTCCTTTCTTGGAATGTTCTCTCCCTATTTTATTTCACAGAGTTGTAGTGAGAAAAGCACTTGATAAAACTTAAAGTCAGATACAGACATCAGCTAATGTAGGATCACAGACATAGATCTGGAAAGGACCTTAAACTTCATTTAGCTCAGCAACCTCATTTTGCAGATGAGGGAACTGAGGCCCAGAAAGGTCAAATGTCTCATCAAAAGTCACACAGGATAATGAAACCATGACTTAAAACCAAAACCTTTGATTCCAAATCTAATACCTTTTTCATTGTACTAAGCTGTGGTAAAAGCAATATCTTAACCCCTTCCCCCAGGTAAGTCAGGCTAGTTTTTCCTTAAAAGGTATTGAAAACATTCTCAACACTTGATTGGCTCAGGAGAATAAAAGCTCAGACTGTTGATATGCCTTCCTTGTCTCCTGAATGCAAAGTGGTCCAAAGAGTTCCAGGGTGCTCTGATGTGTGCCTAGGGGATCATGATGGGCAACTCTGTGGGGAGATTCATTTAGCTAAATCAACTCAAAGTGTTCTTGTTGAATATCTTTCTCCTTCTATGGTTAAATCTCCTTTTGTTAACTGTTGAATGACCTATGAGTATCTCCTTTTTTTCCAATAGCAAACATATTCATTTTGTTTTAATACCAAAACCTGGGCCGAGTCAGGCCCAGCCCAGAACATATGCTCTCTCCCATCTGGAAACCCAAATCTTCCTCATCCTTCAAAACCAATTTCAAGTCTCACCTCCTCTATGGAGCCTTCCCTAACAAATTGATAATGATCTCTTCCTCTATAAACACCTTTCATAGTTCAAGTCTATACTGTACAATCTAGCACTTGACTATATATGAAATTGCCTTATATTACTCTATTGTTGTTCAATGTACATACATACCATCTCTCCAAATAGATTTCCAGTTGCTCAAGAGCAGAAAACCATATCTTTTCCTTCTATGTGTTCCCCTAGAGCCTGGAACAGTGGTAGGCCACTTAGCATCTGGTAATTTGATTTGACTTGGCAAAGTTTTGCTTGGAGCCTGGAGTTTCTACTTTTTAATCCACAAAATGGAAATTATATTTGCATTTGCTATCTCTTTAGGATTTTTGTGAGGAAAGAACTTTGTAAACCTCGAAGTGCTCTAGAAATGTGACCAGTGTCTTGGGGTGAATGAGGTGTTCAGGGAGGACTAGAACCTCTGGTGTGTGGGCTTGCTGAACCCTTCTCAGAGGCTGTTTTTGCTTTTCTCTGTAAACCCACACTTGCACAGTGCCTGGAACATAGTAAGCGCTTAATAAATGCTTCTTGACTTGACTGTAAGAAAAACCTGAACATAATGAATAAAGAAATTACATTAACTGATGCATAGTGAAGGAAGTAAAACCAAGAAAACAATATGTAACAATGGAACCATAAAGAACCACCACCGCAAAACAATAAAAATGGAATTTTCCAAAATTATTAAGAACAAGCTTTGCCCCAAAGAGAAGCCACTGTCCCTTCTCCTTTACAGAGGTGACAATTCACAGAGGTGGAACACAATATCTAGCATCAGTTTTGTTAATGGCCCCATTGGTTTCAATGGATATTCTTCTTTTCTTACTTGTTGAAAAAAAAATCATCCCAAATGGCTCTCTGGGAAGAGGTAGGAGGAAGAATACAAGGAGAAATGTAAATGATATAAAACAAGAGATATCAATAAAAATCTACTTTTGAAAAAAATCTGGGTTCAAATTCCAGCAAGTAACAGCTTCTCTGAACCTCAGTTTTGTCACACGCAAATATGAAGATAATACCACTCACCTTATGGAACCATTATGGGCTCCATTGAGCTAATGTGGGCAAAGTACTTTGAAAATACGGTATCAATGCCAGTTCTTCTCACTTTATTGAATTTTTGACATGAACTGTTTCAGTCTTTACTCTTTCATCTACTTAGACCAGAGCAAAGTCTCATATTTCAGGTCAGGAATGGGCATCTTGATCTCAGGCTAGAGCTTTGTGAAAAGGAAATAACGCAAACACTGAATCAAATGTGGGCTCCCTGTATCCAATCTTCCCACAGAATAGTCTTTGTGTATTATTCAATCCAGCCCCAGGTGGGTAAGGTTGTTCCCTGAAGGAGGTCCCTGTGATAGTCAGTACATATTTATTAAGGTCCTACTATATACAAGGCACTTGCTGGGGGATAATGCTGGGGATACAAAGAAAGGTAAAAGATACTCTCTGCTCTCAAGGAACTCACAATCTAATGGGAGGTGGGGAACAACATGCAAACAACTATATACAAATAAGCTATATTCAAGACAAATTGGAAATAATCCACAGAAGGGGATTAAGGGGTATTGAGAAAAGTTTCCTGTAGAAGGTAGAATATTACCTAGGACTTGAAGGAAGGCAGGAGATGGTGAAAAGGAGGGAGAGAGTTCTAGGCATGGAGGACAGAACATAACAATGCTCAGAGTCAGAAGAGTTTCGTACAAGGAACAGCAAGGAAGCCAGCGTCACTGGATCACAGAATGTGTGCGGGAATGTGGGGGTTGGGGAATAAGGGGAAAGAAAGCTAGGAAGATGGGGAGTTGGGCGGAGATTATGAAGGGCTTTGAAAGCAAAACAAAGAATTTTATATTTGATCCCAGAGGTGACAGAGCCACTGGAGTTGATTTGGTGAGAAGGTGACTTGGTCAGACCTGTGCTTTAGGAAGAATACTTTGACAGTTGAGTGGAGAATAAACTAGAATAGAGAGAGACCTGAGGCAGGAAGACCCAGCAGCAGGTTGCAACAATAGTCTAAGTGGGAGGTGATGAAGACCTGCGCCAAGGTGGTAGCAGCGTCAGAGGAGAGAAGTGGATGTGTGTGTGTGTGTGTGTGTGTGCGATCTATCTGTACGTATGTATGATATATTACAAAGGTAAAATCTACAGACCTTGACAACAAATTGAAAAGAGAGGAGAAGAAAGAATTAGGAGTTGAAGGTGACACCTAGATTGCAAACCCGGGTGATTGGGAGTTTGGTGGTGCCCTCAACAGTAATAGGAAAGTTAGGAGGGACACAAGTCCTGATTGGCTGAGAGACCTCTGAACCAGCAACATTGCATAAGCATGGAGAGACTGAGAAAAGAGAAAAGTAGAACTCAGGAGATCGGGTCAAGGGAGACAGCATGAATTTTTGCATGGCTGATGGGAGGCTCCAGAGCCACTAACATATAGGGAAAGCCAGCCCTTGCCCCATGTATCTCTTGACGTTCAGCACCTGCAACCTTAGAGACTATTAAGAGCAAACTACCCTGGTAAAATCATTCTCTCTTTTGTTGAGCTGAGATTGTATCTCACCTATGAAGAACTCATTTACTCTTGTCTATCCTATTTTCCATCTTAAAATATATAACTTCTTAGATTTTAAAATATTTTCAGGCTTGGAGGCCCTTTGGATCTTTTTGCATTTTCACCATCCAAATATTTTTTTGCTGGCTCCAGAGATGAAAGCTGTTCCTTGCTGAGATAGTATGTAATAAGTGTATTGGGCTAGTTTGCAAAGTGCTTTGCAAACCCTAAAGTACAATAAAAATGCTAGCTATTTTCTTACTCTTATTCTAGTCACATGGACTATACCACACAATGTCAAACATAATGTCACAGCAAGGTCACACATGGTATCTCACATACCACCATATATTGTCTTAGAGTATTCTCTCCCTCTCTCTCTCTCTCTCTCTCTCTCTCTCTCTCTCTCTCTCTTTTCTGTTCCCTCCCCTCTACTCCACCCCTGCCCCACACCCTTAGGATTAAGATTATTTATTGGCAATGTGATATACAGGTTCATGTTTTGGGTAGGGCTTGGATTGGATGACCACTGAAATCATAGATTTAGAGCCAAAGGGGACCTCAGAAGTCACAAAATACCAGAATTGGAAGACATCTTAGAAGTCATCTAATCCAACCCCCTCCTTTTACAGGTAAGGAAAGAGAGGCCCAGAGAGGTTCAATGACTTACCCAAGGCTCTGTGAGCAGCTATTAGAAGAGTCAGCATTTGAATCCAGAGCTCTTTCCATCACACCTTGCTGGCCTCTTTATCTGTGCTTTTTGGCTTCTAAATTACACTCTTAGCCCAAGATGAAATACATCTAAAACTTTACTCATCTTACCCACTTGGAAGAAAAAGTCAACTAACTGCACAGTCTAATAATTTTATACAGAATTCTACACTCTTTACCAATAGTAATGAGAGGATGAATGGGGTAGTGGATAGAAAGTTAGTCTTGAAAGCCAGGAGAACCCGGGTTCAAATATCACCTCAGACTTTTATTGTATAACACTGGACAAATCACTTAACCTTTCAGTATTTTAGGCTACTCTCTTAAGACTGTAAGGTCTTATAGCAAAGGTCTAATTTACCTGCACTGGTAGGAGTTTTCTCATCTAGGAATATATAGTCACAATTCCAGCCCTTATCTTTATCCTTGTACATAATAATGATAAATTCTTAGGTAGTGAAGAGACCAGAGCCAAATAAGTAACTTCTGCTACCTAGAATTGCTCCCATATGGAGCCACTTCCAGAGATTACATGATTTCCCCAAAGGAATGAGAGTTCTGCTGTTCTTAAACTTAATCATACATTTGAAACCGTGCCACAGACGGTGGTCTTCTTATATTACTGATCAGCAGTGTTCGGTCGTGAGTGCCCCATATGCCTGCTTGCTGTCTGCTGGGTGCCTGGGAGAAGTAAGTAAGGGAAAGCCAAATCCAGCTCCCATCTAAGAGCTCAGCCCTTTTGTCTGCCTACAGAGGGACCGGTCAGGCAACCTTAAATGGTCATACCAACAGGGAAGAGGAAGGGCATGTCTCTGTCAGCCTGGATGCTGAAGGCAAAAAACAAAGAAAAAGACTTTTAAACTGCTTTCGTTGCATGCCCCCGCTGAGATTTTTAAATGCCTTCTCTGGTGTATTTGATGCCTGCACATTATTGCCTGTTTAACTTACCCAGTGAGGCTCTGGGGCAAACAAGGGCTGTGTCTTTGCATGTTTTCACAGAGTGCTGTTGGCACTGAAGCAGCAGCAAAAAAATAACAATGCAATCCAAAGAAGGCTGGGAAACCAGGGCCAGTCTGGGAAGCAAGACTTGTCCATATATGGGGAGTTAAGGGCAGAGATTAGATGCATCTTTTATATCTGAATTTAAAGGGGGCTAGATATTAGAAAGAGAAAGAATATGTTTGACTTGGACTTTCTGCAAAAGAACTTTATCAGCTGGATGTGTAAGAGACAGCCAAGACAACAGGAAGGTATATTTCCTAGGGGAAGTCATAGCAATCATACTGCTCCTGCGGAGCTTCACCCACAGGGCGTATCCCAAAGAAGCTGCCACTGCCAAAATGCTGGTCTGTAAAGTCTGTGCTTTGCATGGAGTAGCAGAAGAATTACTGAGTCTGGAAGTAGAGGACCTGGGGTGGACACTTGTCTCTGCACCCTGCTACTAAGTCATGTCTCATCTGTGGAACTCAATTTCCTCATCTGCAAAATGAAGCGCTCACTCTAGTTGCTGCATTTTCAAGTTAAAAGAAACCCTGGGATTCCTCTAATCCTCTGCCTACTTGAAAGAGAATCTTTTCTTCAATAAACCTGATAAGGGCTTATCTAGTCTTTGCTTGAAGGCCTCCAAGGAGGGAGAGTCCAGGCATAGGAAATAGTATAAGTGTGTGGAGGCTGGATTGGTGAGTGGGTTTAAGCATGAGCATATCCCTAAAAGGCAGTGAGTAGCAGTACATAAAGAGGAAGGGAATACAGTAAGAGAAGGCTCAGATAGGGTCAAGGGCAGGTGACAAATGGGATCTACCACTGCCTCCTGGGACAGCACCCCATTCTACCTTGTGTTAGCACTCATTATTAGGAAGTTTTTCCCTTATAGCAAACCTAAATCTGTCTCTTGGCACCTTCTCCCGTAGATGCTGGTTCTGCCCTCTGGGGCCAAGGAGAACAAGTCTGATCCTTTTTTCTGTGGGACAGGTCCTTTTTTTTTTAGCTCTAAATCAGATGATTGACTGAGTTAACTGCAAAGCTAGGTATGTCAGGTTTTTCACAGGATTCAATGTCACTAGAGGAGCAAGGAAGACATAATGTTTCAGTTCTATGGGTAGTAAAAGGGTTCATGACTGAACCTTTGTTAGAGAGGAGCACAGAAGAGAAAACAGGCAGTTTTGATTACATGAAATTAAGAAAGCTTTTGCACAAACAAAAACAATGCAACCAAAATTAGAAGGGAGAATGCTCATGAAACCATGAATTGGTCTAGCCATTTTGGAAAGTAATCTGGAAATATGGCACAAAAGTTACTAAACTGAATGTAGCCTTTGACCCCCAAAATACCACTACTACACTCCCAAGAAATCAAAGAAAGAGCTAAAGGACCAACAGATACAAAAATATTTATAGTAGTTCTTTTCATAGTGGCAAAGAACAAGAAACTAAAGAGGTAACTACCAACTGGAGGGTGGTTGAACAAATTACAGTATATGAATACAATGAAATTCAATTGTGCTATAAGAAATTATGAAATTTTTGAAAATGGTATGCTAGACACTGTGCTAAACACTTTTCAAATGTTATCTCATTTAATCCTCACAACAATCCTGGGAGATAGCTGTTAATATTCTTCTTCTTTTACAGATGAAGGGACTGAGGTAGACAGAGGTTATGTGACTTGCTGAAAGTCGCACAGTAAATGTCTGAGATCAGATTTGAACCCAGGTCTTTCTGACTTCAAGTCCAGGGCCCTATCCAAGATGATGAAAGGGGTGGTTTCATAGACACTTGAGAACAACACACTCACATCCTTACCTCTCCCAGCCCACCCCTCCAGAACACACACACCTCAACACACGAACAATTTACTAGTATTTAGAGGACCAGGGAATTTTCATGAAGATTCCCCATTTTCTCTCTCTGCTATTTTAGATCTCTGGTAGATGTCCTCCTTCATTCTCTGCGCAAGGTCAGTTTGGATTTGGAAGCTGAGAAAAATCAGCCAGAATATTATTGAGCTGTAGCCTTGCTTCCTGTAGGCTGAGGCAATGAATAGGAGAGGAGCACCATCTTTGAAGAAGTCATTTCAGAAAACTAAAACTGAGCCTTCAAGGTTGACATTCAGGTCAAACTCAACGATGGACTCACCAGGCTCCGTCTGTCAGTCTTCCATTCAGTCATTAGGTCATTAGGCCATGCCGCAGCTGAGATCTAGAGTGGGAGGGGGCACTCCCAAATGGACTACCTTACAGCCAAAATTAGGCCACTTAAAAAAATAGGATCAGGTAGGTTCCTGACAACTTGAAGAAGGAGTAAACCAAACTTTTTTCATTTTTGGAGAATGAGAGGAAGAAGCAATAATGATCTGGCACCCTTGGGATTTTCCCCATTTGTTCTGTGTAGGTTACCAACGCTGCTACAGCTCTCCAGTTTATTCTTGTGATTAATTGGTGATACGATGGATGGTGATAATATATGATATCTCTGTAGCATTTTAAAGTTTACAAAAAGCACTTTATGGACCCCAACAACTTTGTGAAGTAAATACTACATGTATTGTTATCCAACAGATGAGGAAACTGAGGCAGAGAGTTCATTGATTTGCTTATAGTGATAGAATAATAGAGCTTACAGCACATGTAGTCTAATCACTTCATTTGACAGATGAGTAAGGCCCAGAGATTAAGTAATTTACCCAAAAGTCACCCAGATCCTAAGTGTCAAAGGCAAAATTCAAACTTGTCTTCCTGACTCCAGGTTCATTGTTCTATCCTATATCCCACTGTTAGTACCAATGCAGCCACACCAGGGGGACTATTGAACTCTCTTGCTCCCTGTTGCAAAAGAAAGAAAAACAATTGCTTTGTAACAAATATGCATAATCAAGCAATACAAACCTCCACATAAGTCTAAAAAAATTAGTATTTCAATCTGCACCCTGGGGCCATCACCCTTCTGTCAAGAGAAGGAGGTACCATGTTTCATCATGAACCCTCTGGAATCATGATTGGTTATTGTGTTGACTAGAGTTACTAAGTCTTTCAAAGTTGTTTGTCTTTACAATGTTGTTGTTGTTGTTGTATAAATTATTCTCCTGGTTTTACTCATTTCACTTTGCATCAGTTCATATAAATCTTCCCAAGTTTTTTTGAAATAATTTTTACAATACAATAGTATTTCATTACATTCATATACCATAACTTGTTCAGCCATTCTCCCCATATAGCTTTATCTGTGGAAATTCTACTCACAGTTTAAAGCCTAGCCCAAATGCTGCATCTTTTAAACGCTATTTTCTGATACCCACACCAATAACAGTCAATAGCAATCATTCCCTCCCAACCTCTCACTGAATATGGATAGCACCTTTCATCATGTATCATTTAGCATTATGTTCATTTTTGTCATATCATCCAATTAGATGGTAAAATCCATGAGAGGAGGGGCAATGTCTTATTTGTTACCCACTCCCAACAGAGTTGTATGTATAGTGGATGCTTAATAGATGTGGACTTTTTTTTTAAAAGCTGAACTTCCCTGCAGGTAGGAAACACAACTATAAGAGGCAACGTAGATGTTTTGCTAACTCTTTCAGTCAAAAACTTTCTAATCAGATCAACCCATCAGCTTCTTTCCCCTTAGGCTCAGGGAATAGAATCTCCTCTGTAAATTCCCAGTCTTTTCAGACTGTTATCCTTGTGGGTTTCTCACTTTGTTCTCTATCCCCTGAATGGTTCCACACTATTTCTGGTCATTGAAGTGTCCTTTTCTTAATAGAATTCCAAGCTATCTCAAAAGTATAAAATACTAAAAGAGAGCTCACCATCCTTCCAATGTAAAGAAATACCTCTCCCCACCAGGAGGTTGACAAAAACTCTACCATTTGACCCAAAGTCATTGCCCCAAAGAGTGTTTCTCCTGATGTCATCAATCTAACCTGAATTCTGAAAATCCCTCAGTCCATCTTTCTGCCAGGACAGGGTGCCATCAAACCTTCCATTGAAATAGAAAATCAGGATCAAAAAGCTTACTAAGGGACTAATAAAATCCAATAAAATTCAAACTATGAGAAGCAGAAATGCCTCCCATTATATAAAGATAGAGACCAACTACTTGGGAAAGTTTTAGCAGGGATTCTGGTTCAGGTGTACATTGGATTAGATGGCTTCTGAAGTCCCTTCAGAGTGTGAGTTTCTATGAGCATATAATCCAAACTGACCCCATCACCTGTCTCTCATGGCCCCTGGGTAGAAGTCTCCTCCTCCTTTAGCACAATTATGCTGACAGATTTTAGGTTTATGGGGAGCTTCTCCTGCTCCTCTCTGAAGATTTCTTTCTTGTCAAAGCAGTCCTGGGCAAAATTACTGAGTAGATGAGTAGACCAAATTTATCTTGGCCCATAAAAAATTATTAAAGGGATAATTTCAGTGAAATCTGGGAGGACTTTTATAAGCCAGTCAGTCAGTAACTAGGGCCTGGATAGATGCTCCCCTGAGTGGAGGGGGATGGTCATTCCAGATTCCAGTTTGGGTGTAGGATGAGTGACTCAAGGGGTGGAGATGAAAGGAAAACTGTGGGGCTTTTAAAGGATGAGAGTATAGAAGGCTAAGATTAAAAATTTAGATGAGTTCTTTGAGATTGGAAACAAAAAGCAAAAATGAGTGAGGCTAT